CACATCAGTATTTATCTACGGAGTCATTTGTCTGTGTGTGTCCGTACTGTCCCTGAACACACCACAGAGTCGCGTCACTCACGTGTGTTTGTTTACACCTGCAGACACAGATCCAAACACTGAGATTATATTCTTTTTACGGACAATCGGTTTGAGTCTGGATTAAAAGGACATTTATTAGTGCAGATTTGTGATGTGAGGAGGAGCCTGTATGAGCGGTGAGTGTTGGAAATATGTCGACTCTGAAGCTAGTTTTTGTCATTTGTTATGGGTTAGCTGCTGTAGCTCCCGCACATACACAGGCTGTTTTCTATTGGTCTGTTCTAAAGTGACTATATTGGCCGTATATTTGCTACTGGACCAGCATTGATATGTAAATGAGCTGTGAACAGACGTGTGAATTATGACATTTGCACATATAATTAATTACCGCGGCGCGCACATATTTACGGCTAAAGGCTAATAGCACTAGTTTCTTTACTAGTTATGGGTCGGTCGTGAACGAAACGGCTCTTAGAGCCGGCTCTTTGAAGGGAACGACGGGAGCCTGATCCTTATTGGGAGCCGTGTTTTCTCTTTCTCTCACTTTTTTCTCTTCACGCCGCGTGATTCGTGGTTTGACAGCGGCAGCGGCTAAAAACGAAACTTTGAGAAATTTGCGTGTACGTAGGATTAAAAAAAATAAAAACAAAAAAAAACGAGCATATTTGACTGTAGTTTAGCATAAAATAAATAAGTCCCGGTTTAGTCCTTTTTCAGTCCTGGTTTAGACCTGGTTCAGTGCTGATTCAGTCCTGCTTTAGACGTGCTTTAGTCCTGCTTGCAACAAAACAATCTGAAGAGCCACTTGGGAGCCAAAAGAACCAGCAGCTTTTAGTGAGCCGAGCCAAAAGAGCCGGTTCTCTAAAAAGAACTGGAATACCCATCACTAGTGTCTAGAATGTGATGCAAAAATGCAATTAAGCCAACCTACTGTCTGTAAATATGATGTAAAGAGGCAGAATAACAATAAATGTTGCCTAAATAAACCCAATTTAAAATCCACCAGAGCCAAACCTAAGTTTTTTAAACAATTCAACATTTACAGTGAATTTTTACATCACTAAATATATCGGCGATTATATCGGCTATCGGCAGCTCCAACCCCCATTATATCGGTTTCATATCGGCTACAGCAAAATCCATATCGGTCAGGCTCTACTCCTTTCACCTGTTGGCAGGTGTAATGTGGGACTGTCAGGTGTAAGTGTCAGGTGTAATGTGGGACTGTCAGGTGTAAGTGTCAGGTGTAAGTGTCATGTGGACTGTCAGGTGTAAGTGTCAGGTGTAAGTGTCAGGTGTAAGTGTCAGGTGTAAGTGTCAGGTGTAAGTGTCAGGTGTAATGTGGGACTGTCAGGTGTAAGTGTCAGGTGTAAGTGTCAGGTGTAAGTGTCAGGTGTAAGTGTCAGGTGTAAGTGTCAGGTGTAAGTGTCAGGTGTAAGTGTCAGGTGTAAGTGTCAGGTGTAAGTGTCAGGTGTAATGTGGGACTGTCAGGTGTAAGTGTCAGGTGTAAGTGTCAGGTGTAAGTGTAAGTGTCAGGTGTAATGTGTGTGGGACTGTCAGGTGTAAGTGTCAGGTGTAAGGTGTAAGTGTCAGGTGTAAGTGTCAGGTGTGTGTCAGTGTCAGGTGTAAGTGTCAGGTGTAATGTGGGACTGTCAGGTGTAAGGTGTGTGTCAGGTGTAATGTGGGAGTGTGTGTCAGTGTCAGGTGTAAGTGTCAGGTGTAAGTGTCAGGTGTAATGTGGGACTGTCAGGTGTGTGTCAGTGTCATGGGGTGTCATGTAAGTGTCAGGTGTAATGTGGGACTGTCAGGTGTAAGTGTCAGGTGTAATGTGGGACTGTCAGGTGTAAGTGTCAGGTGTAAGTGTCAGGTGTATGTGGGACTGTCAGGTGTAAGTGTCAGGTGTATGTGGGACTGTCAGGTGTAAGTGTCAGGTGTAATGTGGGACTGTCAGGTGTAAGTGTCAGGTGTAATGTGGGACTGTCAGGTGTAAGTGTCAGGTGTAGTGTCAGGTGTAAGTGTCAGGTGTGTAATGTGGGACTGTCAGGTGTAAGTGTCAGTGTGTGTAATGTGTGGACTGTCAGGTGTAAGTGTCAGGTGTAATGTGGGACTGTCAGGTGTAAGTGTCAGGTGTAAGTGTCAGGTGTAAGTGTCAGGTGTAAGTGTCAGGTGTAATGTGTCAGGTGTAAGTGTCAGGTGTAAGTGTCAGGTGTAATGTGGGACTGTCAGGTGTAAGTGTCAGGTGTAAGTGTCAGGTGTAATGTGGGACTGTCAGGTGTAGTGTCAGTGTCAGGTGTATGTGTGGTGACTGTCAGGTGTAAGTGTCAGGTGTAAGTGTGGTGACTGTCAGGTGTAAGTGTCAGGTGTAATGTGGGACTGTCAGGTGTAAGTGTCAGGTGTAAGTGTCAGGTGTAAGTGTCAGGTGTAAGTGTCAGGTGTATGTGTGTGTCATGTGTCAGGTGTAAGTGTCAGGTGTAATGTGGGTGTCAGGTGTAAGTGTCAGTGTAATGTGTCAGGTGTATGTGTCAGGTGTGTGTCAGGTGTAAGTGTCAGGTGAGTGTCAGTGTCAGGTGTAAGTGTCAGGTGTATGTGTCAGGTGTATGTGTCAGGTGTATGTGTCAGGTGTATGTGGGACTGTCAGGTGTAAGTGTCAGGTGTAAGTGTCAGGTGTAAGTGTCAGGTGTAATGTCAGGTGTAGTGTCAGTGTGTAAGTGTCAGGTGTAATGTGTCAGGTGTCAGGTGTTGTGTCAGTGTGTCAGGTGTATGTGTCAGGTGTATGTGTCAGGTGTAAGGTGTGTGTCAGGTGTAAGTGTCAGTGTCAGGTGTAAGTGTCAGGTGTAAGTGTCAGGTGTAAGTGTCAGGTGTAAGTGTCAGGTGTAAGTGTCAGGTGTAAGTGTCAGGTGTAAGTGTCAGGTGTAAGTGTCAGGTGTAAGTGTCAGGTGTATGTGTCAGGTGTATGTGTCAGGTGTATGTGTCAGGTGTAAGTGTCAGGTGTATGTGTCAGGTGTATGTGTCAGGTGTAAGTGTCAGGTGTAAGTGTCAGGTGTAAGTGTCAGGTGTAAGTGTCAGGTGTAAGTGTCAGGTGTATGTGTCAGGTGTATGTGTCAGGTGTATGTGTCAGGTGTAGTGTGTCAGGTGTAAGTGTCAGTGGTGTAGGTGTGTGTCAGGTGTAGTGTCAGGTGTGTGTCAGGTGTATGTGTCAGGTGTCAGGTGTGTGTCAGGTGTCAGGTGTGTGTCAGGTGTCAGGTGTAAGTGTCAGTGTGTGTCAGTGTCAGGTGTATGTGTCAGGTGTAAGTGTCAGGTGTAAGTGTCAGTGTGTCAAGTGTCAGGTGTCAGTGTGTGTGTCAGTGTCAGGTGTAGTGTCAGGTGTGTGTCAGTGTCAGGTGTGTGTCAGGTGTATGTGTCAGGTGTGTGTCAGGTGGTGTCAGGTGTAAGTGTCAGGTGTATGTGTCATGTGTCAGGTGTAAGTGTCAGGTGTGTGTCAGGTGTATGTGTCAGGTGTAGTGTCGTGTCAGGTGTAAGTGTCAGTGTCAGGTGTAAGTGTCAGGTGTAAGTGTCAGTGTCAGGTGTAAGTGTCAGGTGTAAGTGTCAGGTGTAAGTGTCATGTGTCAGGTGTATGTGTCAGGTGTAATGTGTCAGGTGTAATGTGTCAGGTGTCATGTGTCAGGTGTGTGTCAGGTGTCAGTGTATGTGTCAGGTGTATGTGTCAGGTGTATGTGTCAGGTGTATGTGTCAGGTGGTGTCAGGTGTAGGTGTAGTGTCAGGTGTATGTGTCAGGTGTATCAGGTGTGTGTCAGGTGTGTGTCAGGTGTAATGTGTCAGTGTGTGTAAGTGTCAGGTGTAAGTGTCAGTGTGTGTAAGTGTCAGTGTGTGTATGTGGTGTCAGTGTCGTGTCAGGTGTAAGTGTCAGGTGTGTGTCAGGTGTAAGTGTCAGGTGTAAGTGTCAGGTGTAAGTGTCAGGTGTATGTGTCAGGTGTATGTGTCAGGTGTATGTGTCAGGTGTAAGTGTCAGGTGTAAGTGTCAGGTGTAAGTGTCAGGTGTAAGTGTGTGGTGTCAGGTGTAAGTGTCAGGTGTAAGTGTCAGGTGTATGTGGGACTGTCCCTGTGCCCTGTGGAGTTTGTCTTTGTACCAGTCAGGGAGGAGATGCTCTTGTTTGGGGGATACTTGTTTTGACACTGATAGTTGTTCACACAGGTGCCACAGGGTCACAGCATCTGTGCTGGACTCAGAGACCATCTTTACCTTCAGACCAAAACAACCAGACCAGTTTGGTCCTGATTTCTGTTGGAATCCATCATATTATAATGTTTTAATCATGACATGTGTTTGTAATGGAAGTGAATGGGAATATGTCACCCATAGTCCTTTTTCCCACCATGAATTATTAACATATACTAGGCTTTAATGAATTTAGCTCAAGTTTTCCATTTCACTTTTATAATTCTGAAAATATATAAAGAAATGTTTCTACTTTTTAATGTTTACTCAGAGCTTTGGGGAAATTCTTCTTTAGGTTTTATTGTGTCAGTGGCATAAAGGTCGTACTTTAAACAAAATTGACAAAACCCGTGTTATAATGACGTTGCCTCGTCAAAAACAGACCTGGAGTTGTGTTTTGTTTCATTCACACATCTAACTCTTTATTATTAGTCCGTCTACATCTCCAAAGCTCAAAATGCTCTGCTCCACCTTGTGATGTCACGAAGCGGTCGTTTTCAAATGAACATCTACAAATTTTAGTTTAGTAGAGATCGGCAATTCCAGGGCTGAAATTATTCAATTATTAATTATTAATTATTCTTCCGTTTGAGAGAAGAACCCTAAATATGCAGGGTTTGTAACAAAACACAACTCTGGGTTTGTGTTTGATGAGGAAACATTAAAACAGAGCTCAGAAAATAGCGTAACATGGGCCCTTTAATAGTTTTGTGTGATGGTATTATGTGCGGTCTCCTCCCAGGCTCCACTGTCAGCACACTGGATCTGATGAGCCTGAACCAGCGCCTCCTAGCTGCAAAAGAGCTTGGAGAACAGGTCAGCCGGGACCTCAACCTCATCCTGGAGCAGGTCAAGAACGTTTCCCAAGCTTATGCTGATGCCAGTGCCACCCACACCACCACCAGCGCCTCCAGAACCAGGAGCACCAGCACCAGCACCAGCGCTCCAACAGGTAGCCACGCATTTACGTTATAATGGTTTTCCAAGTATATATATTTTTTTATATATGCAATTGTCACGTCTATTTGTTTTTTGGCTGTACAATTCCCACACTTGAAGGGGATGGGCTCACTATCGAAGTACATGAACTGGACTCCAATCAGAATCTTAAAGCAGTGGAAGTCCTTTCAGTCATTTATTATCAAGCACAGGAGAAGTGTTTCCCAAACTTTTTTTCTGGGGACCCATTTTTCAAAAGTCATAAATCTTTGCGACCCAAGTCAATCGACATTATTTGTAAATCAAAAAATAAATTTGTGACCATTATTGAACATTAATAAGGATAAGCCAAAGATGTTCATTTTGTCTTCTTATGTACTTTAACTTCTTGGGTTATTTTTAAAGACAATGCAGTAAAGTGTATTTACCTTGCTGACATGTTTCGGCTGCTGCTGCATCTTCAGAACTGTCCCCGGTCAGTCAGGTCTCCTGTCGCCCGGTGTTCTCTGGAGGAGGGTGTCCCAGGCGTGTGAAAGGAGTAATGCTCCGTCATCATGGTTAATGCTGTCCGTTCCTTGTTTCCTGATTTCACTGTCCTCCCTGATCCAGCGTTTGAACTTGTTGTTCTCCAAATGGCAAACAGCTTTGACACCTTTTTGTCCTAATCTTCTTATTAAGCCAAAGATGTTCATTTTGTCTTCTTATGTACTTTAACTTCTTGGTTTTTTTAAACAATACAGTAAAGTGTATTTACCTTGTTGGCATGTTTCGGCTGCAAGGCATCGTCAGAATTGGCTTGCAGCGAGCAAGCAACAAGTTCAAACACTGGATCAGGCAGGACAGTGAAATCAGGAAACGAGGAACGACAGAGCGTTCCTCCTTTCACACACCTGGGACACCCTCCTTCAGAAAACATCGGGCGACGGGAGGCGTGGTCAGTCTGAGCGACCTGCAGCTCCATCAGGCTGACCACGCCCACAGGAAGTAACAACAGCTGATACATCAACACCGACACTGAGGACAGTTCTGAAGATGCAGCAGCAGCCGAAACATGTCAACAAGGTAAATAGACTTTACTGTTTTGTCTTTACAAAGAACCCAAGAAGTAAAAATTAATGAGGATACTTCATTGTTGACTGAGTGATTGTGTCACTCTGAACAATTAGTATTATGCAAGTTTAAAATTGCGGAGAAGAAGTGAAGAGCGGGGGAGGGGTCCTGTGATGAGGCAGTGATGAGATAAAAACACAAAACAAATAAATCTAAAACAATAAAATCTAAACATTAGTGGATTGGTTAACTGCAGCCAATCATTTTTCTTGCTGACAATTTTGACAGCAGGCTCAAATGTTAAACACATACTGTATGTTCTGATAATGCACAAATTACAACCTACAGTTTAACTGATCAGGTCACAACCATACAGTTGACTTCTGGTGTCAGACTCTGCACTTTCTTCACTGTTCCCAGACACATCCGAACACAGTTTCCTCAGAAACTGATATTTTATATGCCTTTTCTTTTTCTTTCTTTTTCTGTTTTTTGACAGCGACTCTGCGTCCGAGAGTGAGGGACATCCTGGAGGAGCGCTTACAAAAACCCAATGTCCACCTGTACCTGCCCCACCTGAAGGAGCACCCGGACAGCCTCGTGCCCAACGTGGTGCTCAGCAAGGGCCGCACTGGAGGTACTCTGTCTGCACACTGCCAACAACAAGGCTGCTTATACTAGAGCTGAGAGCAGAAGCCTCTGGTGCACAAGCTTCCATGTGTTAAACACTATTTGCATAACTTGACATTCAGCACCAGCAATGATGCCCCAGTGATAATGAGTGCATTTACATGAACATCAGTATCCCAGTTATTAGCCATATCCCAGTTCTGTCAGTATTCGGGATACTGTGTATACATGTGCACAGAGAAACCGGGACACTCATATCCCTGTGTACATGATCAAATGGAGTATCCCGGTTTCTTGACACAATTTTACAAATGTGCAAGCGCAAAAATTATATATTAAATAAACCAGGAAAAATATAAACAACCATGAGCTCCTTTAGCACGGGAGGTTCTAACCAGTAGTGAGGAGCTCTGATACACGACACAGCTCAAACCTAATGCAGACACACTGCAACAGATTCTTAATTCAAATTTTCTGCATAAAAAACTCAACTTCACCACATATAAACCATAACCGCTATAGAGCTCCGGGAGCTGACGACATACCGGCTCGTCACGCACTAGGTGTCGCCATTTTGGCAGTAATCGGCAGATCGGCTGACTCGCGCTGTACGACTCCAGCGCAATAACAGATTGTTTTCCAAACGCAGCCGAGATTCATTTCCGAATTATTTTGCCAACAATGACCAAAACAGAAAATGTGCAAACGTGTGGCTCCAGAGTGAGTCAGAACTGGGGGTGTGTACGTCTGTTCAGGACCTGCACACACAAAGAGGTCCCGGTGTTCCCCATGTTCATGTAGCAAAATGTCCTGCTTTTAGCCAAGTGTGAGAAATGCAGTCGGACTAGAGCCAAACCAGAGTCCTGAACCAGCAGGAGCAGCTCTGGTTCAGTCCGGACTCAAAGGAGCTGGAGCGGGGAGTGGCGTTAGGAGCCTCGGCCTGAGAAGAACTTTTCCCGGGAAGAACCAAGAGCACCGAGCACAGACGCTCAGAACAACATATAACCAACCAAACTGGACTCACGCTTCTGTCCGGATGCTGCACCACCTCGGAACCAACCGTGGTTCTTGAGCACGGAGGACCGGAGCAGCCCGTCTGGCCCTGTAGTCCACAGAACATTCTCGCTTTTCCCGCACGGAACCAACACGCAGATGATGACACGGAACCACTCGGACCCAGTCCATCAAGCACTGGTCTTGCTCGCCCCCGTCTGGAACCAGCACATGGAGGACGGAGCCTCCGTACCATCTGACCAACGCGCTCGGAGGACCAGACCAAGGACCAGACCCCAGCCCCGTCCTGAGGAGCTGCTATGGTGCTCCTCTTTACTGCTGTTGGCTGCTGCTGTTACCTGCACTCAGATCTTCTGTTCCGGGCTGATGCGGTGAGTTTGTACAAATTTCTACATGTTGTTGTTTTATGAGTTCATGATGACACTTGAGATGAGGACGGCCCGTGGTTTTAACAGGGAACATCGGTGTTGATAGTTGGAGATATTGCTGTTCTACCAGGAAACAGAGGCATGTCAATCGGACCAATTTTGGTTTGTTTGCCGGTGTACTGCAGATCTGGGACGTCTTCTTCAGCGGAAATATTTTTTAAAATCACTCCGGGGGCATTATATGGGTCGGTAAAGTTTAATCTGTTTAATTTTTTGATATAAAGCTCAACGTCTTGTGATTTAAAATGAGCTGAGTACTCCGATGGCTTGAAAGCTTCGGCGGTGGCGCTGTCAATATTTACTGCCAAAATGGTGGCCCGCCCACCGGGAGTCACGTGGGGTCCGGAGCCACATCAGCCCGTTTGATCATATAATTCAGCTTTGCCACATTTGTTTACGTTTTACAGAAACGAAACCACAGAGCTTCTGTCGGTCGGACTAAAGGACACGACCCAGTGGAATATGAATGTTTTTTTTCTGTGATGGAGGAGGTGCTGATGATGGTGAGCCTGTTCTGTGTGTATATCGCGTTGGAGATGGTTCGTGTTTAACTTTTCAGAGATCACACAAGTGCAGATTGTACGTGTGCAGGTTGAGAGCAGCTCTTTATTCTACTGTCATTTCACTCATGTATGGTTATTAGGGATGGGCATGATTAATCGATTAATCAATAATTGATCATTAAGAATTTCATCGATTATGTTCATTTTAATCGACAAACTGAATGTATGTTGCTGTGTGTATCGTGACCAAACAGGTGTGTACATGTGTCTCTGCATCAGAAGGAGTGAGACACAAACAGTGGGTCAGTCTGTAACGTACAGAAGCACAAATGTGTATTTAACGATGATTTGTACAAGAAATTCCACGCTTTCCGTTGCGTTCGGGACAAGTGTGAGTCCATGTGCACAGTGTATAAAGCAGGAACATATGTTTCTGTGTCCAGTGGGAAAAAGTTTTGCCAGGTGAGAGTCGCTCAATGTGGATGACGAGTCCCCACCTCCCTCCCCCCGTACGGTGTCCTGGTTTTGACAAACGCAAATCTGGTCACACTGACCTGTATTCACCTGAGTCATGTCTTTTAATCCGACAGAAATTGACCGCATCAGCGACACAAGAGCTGTAGTTTTATCTTCGCTTAGTTTATGCAAATTAGCGATGCGGTTTTAAGTTTTGTTTCTGTGAGAGTTGAACAAAACTGAATTAAACACATTATAATGTCAAACGGGCTGATGTGGCTCTAGAGTGGTTACGGTTTATATGTCGTAAAGTTGAATTTATTTATGCAGATAAGTAGTGCAGATAGTAATAATAATGATGATCATTTTAATATAAAAACCTTAATGATTAATCGATAATCGATCGTTAATTCTTCCGACGATTGATTAAGAAAATTTCATCGAATGCCCATCCCTAATGGTTATTTTATTAATTTGGCTACTGTTGTGGTAAAAAGACTGAAAAGTGTTTGTCTTTTGGACGCATGCGCACTCAGCTTTATGTTGCAGTATTCGGGATACTGTATATACATGCCACAGTATCCCGGTAGCTATCTGAATATACCAGCTACAGTATCCCTGTTTCTCATAACCAGGATACTGCAACATGATGAAACCGGGACACTCAAAAAACCCGATCATAACCAGGACACTGATGTACATGTAAACGCACTCATTGATAACACGCTCACAACACAAAATAATGTCAGTTTCTCGAGTACTTCCTTGTGGTCTTACACTAGACTCAGGCCAGTGAAAAACAAAAACTGATAATGTTGTCATGTCTCTTGTGTCGTGTCAGTGTCCATGGTTCTTGGCATCCCCACCGTGAGGCGTGAGAAGCAGAGTTACCTGGTACCTACGGTGGGCTCGCTGCTGTACGAGCTCAGCCCCTCTCAGCTCCAGGACCTCCTCATCATCGTCTTTGTGGCAGAGGTGCCTAGTACTTTCTTATATTTACATCATATTGTACTTTCCTGTGTTTTCAAACTAACATCATACTGTTACTCCAACTTAAGTAAGAAATACATTTAAAAAAGTACTGTGGGTAGCCAGTGTCTTAACCTGCGGGTTGAGGACACATGCAAGTACGGACAGGCCATGCCTTGTGTGAAAACTCAGAACCCCCAGAAGTCAGGGAGTCTTTATAGATTTAAACCAAACATCATGTCCAGTGTTTCCATAATTACGAATAAATCTGCATTACAAGTGTTACCAATAACCCAAAAAGTCCAAATCTTACATACTGCTCCTTTTACGAAAGTAGAGAAAAGTACCGTAAATTCCGGACTATAAGCCGCAAACAGTTTATTGCCGTGTGATAAAATAAGTTATGATGCGAAATGAACATTAGTGAGGGGGATACGTATCTTATCCGTATGTGTAAATAACGAGAAGAAACGTCTCAGACTTCAGTAACCGGACGTCCACTCATACCTGATCGACAGAACTAGCCCCGCCCCCGAGAGAGTCTGAAATCTGCTGAAATACTCCAAGACACTGACATGATACAGACAGGACAGAGACTCTTTCTGCAGGACACATGTGCAGACGGGGATTATGCGCCGAGGAAGATGCTCCTTTGAATAGTTGTTTTGTGCTTCATACACACACCGTCCTCATGGAAAACACACGAAGAAATGCAGATGATGCAGCTTTTAAGTTAAAGGTGACTGATGTGGCTGTGGAAGAAGGAAATAAAGCTGGTGCACGTGAGCTCGGCATCAGTGAGTCGATGGTGAGATTTTGGCGACGGCAGCGTGACGAACTGACTCAACGCAAAAAGATGAGAAAAACTTTCAGAGGTGATAAAAGCAGACGACCTGAACTTGAAAACGTTCTTGAAGACATGGATACCTGCGGCTTATATTCAAGTGCAGCCTGTATACAGTCAATCCCAAAATTATTCATACCCCTGACAAATTAGACCTAAAGTTACTTTTATTCAACCAGCAAGTTTTTTCTTGATTGGAAATGATACAGGAGTCTCCCAGAAGATAATAAGACAATGTACAAGAGGCATCATTGTGGAAAAAAAAAAATTTTCTCAGCTTTTATTTACATTTGAATAAAAAGTGGCATGTCCAGAATTATTCATACCCTTTGTAAACTGTCAGAGTCAATGGAAAAATCCAAAGTTTTATACCATTCCAAACAGCACAAGCTGTTCTAAAACTTCCTAATTCCCCTGATTCATTAGGAAGAGCTGTTTTAAGCAACTGAACAGGTGAAAAACAGCAGGTCTTTGCAGTTGGTTTGTGAACAGTCATGGCTTAATCCTTAGTCATAATAACCTGCAAGGGCGATTTACCTGTACGGGTGCTGATATTTCTTGGCCCGTGGAGGCCCGTGGGGTTCCGTAGAGGAAAGAGAGTTTTCTAAGTGCTTCGTAAGGGTGGTGCAAGTGTGGCTTGCAGGTCCCGTGAGACTTGTACAGGACCCTGAGAGAAATTTCGGCAAAGTGGGGCATGCAGGTGTCGTGCGGGTCTTAAGACTGTCGTGAGGCAATAGTATGCCATCCTTAAGTGCCACGCAAGGGTCACGTACTAGTCAAAATCTCGTACGGCTCATCCAAGCTGCTGCTTCAGTTTTGAAGAACTGTTCAGAATTGAAGAAGCAGCTTGGATGAGCTGTGAAATGTCTTCAACCAAACCATTATCACACAAATGTTCATGGGCACTGTACAGATACACACATTACATTGTGGATAATGATCATGTAATATGGCCTTTGCTCCTCATAAACTGCTTCTGTGGTGATGATCTGCCCCCACTGATGCCTCATGGGGGACCAGGTTGCCATCTCTGATTGTGCTTGTTCCAGTTGAATGTGTGAACCATTTCACAATGTAAATTTAAATTCTTGTAGTGTGATATCTGAAAATCTGTAAGTCACAGGTTTTAAACAACAAAACTGACTCTTTCTCTGTCTCTTTCTCATTTCAGACAGATCACAGTTATGTAAACAGCATCGCAGAGACTATCAGCTCAAAGTAAGTCACAAAAGCATGATATAAAAAAAACACAACACAGCAACTTGAAAAACCAGATATGATGTGCAGTAGAGAGGAATTGATACTAATGTTGTAATCGTGCTCTGAAAGGGGAGTGACTTACAGCAGACAGCAAAGGGAGGGAGGCAAGAGTGGCAAGAACAATTAAAGGTTAAATGAATCGAAATATGTTATGTGTTAGCAGTTAATAACCCACAGACAATTTGTATGCATTTGTGTAGTTATTGGCTGTAAAACATGTACTTGAGTAGCTTTTCTTTGGCATTTCATGTTTTAGAAGTTAAAATAATAATTAAAGAACCAAACATTATTTCCCAGTTCCTGTGCTCCCCATAGTGGGATCTGGTGCAGCTCTCCGTCTACCTGCAGCAGGAAATTATCATGTGAAAAAAAATAGCTGATTAACAGATTAATTTGTTAACAAAAAAATTATGTCAGAAATGTTTACGAGTCTGGCAGTGATTTGTGAACTTAAAACTGCAGAATCTGTGACGCAACAATCCGGGGAAAATTAAAGGCTCAAAAAAGCAAATTTTCCATAATGTGGGTAGAAATGCTTAGATTTTTTTTCACTGGTTTTAAAATAAAATAAAATAAGGCAACTGACTAGTACAGCAAATGTGATTTTATACACATTTAGTACAGTTGAGGTGAAAATGGTGTATATTTTTATTTATCTGAAAAGGAAATCATAAAGAAGTACATAAAAAAATAAGAAATGTGTTGCTTTTGCTCAACGTAAAATGCAGCAAATGGGTGATACTGCAGAAGTGCTTTGTCAGGGTGAGGAAATGCCAAAAGTGCAAAGCAGTTATTAAAGCAAAGGGTGGCCATTTGCCTGAAGGAGCCTTCAGTGAGAATCTATGTAAATAATCATGAAAATAAACAGGAAGACACGTGGCCAAACTTGTGACCTGCAGTGTCGTGACTGTCACACGTGTGGAGCGTATATGTGCTGTGAATTGCTGATGGCCCTTGTCTTTTCCCGGGTGTTCACAGTTTCCCAAAAGAGGTGGAGAGCGGGCTGCTGGAGGTGGTCTCTCCATCGCAGCACTACTACCCCAACTTCACCTTGCTCAAGGAGACGTTTGGAGACTCCAAGGATCGAGTCAAGTACGGTGACATCATTCTTCTCTCAGTGGGCAAAAGCACTAGAATTATAACTGTAAATAACAATACAGTCGTCCCTCACTATAACGCGGTTCACCTTTCGCGACCCCCGCCGTTTGGAGATTTTTTTTTGTGCGGTTTGTGCGCACATTGTGTTCCTTCGCCCGTACTGCCCGTGTACTGCCCTGTACTGCTCGTGTACTGCCCGTGTACTGCCCGTGTACCTCTTGTGTACCACCCGGGTACTGCCTGTGTACTGCCCGTGTATCGCATGTGTACTGCCCGTGTACTGCTCGTGTACTGCCCGTGTACTGCCCGTGTACTGCCCGTGTACCTCTTGTGTACCACCCGTGTACTGCCCGTGTATCGCATGTGTACTGCCCGTGTACTGCCCGTGTACTGCCCGTGTATCGCATGTGTACTGTTCCGCTCGTGTTCCGCTCGTGTTCCGCTCGTGTTCCGCTCATATATACTGACAGAGTTTGTTTCAGGTGGCGCACCAAACAGAACCTGGACTTCAGCTTCCTCATGCTTTACGCGCAGGACAAAGGAACATACTATGTGCAGGTGAGGCTTTTCTCTGGAGCATGTCCTGTCAGGCTGCATTCCTAAAGAACCCGCATGCTCGTGTCCTGCTGCTTTCACAAGAGGTGTGTTGCGCCATTCGGGTTTGCTAAGCTGGTTCTCTCTGTGTCCACAGCTGGAGGACGACGTCATCGCCAAGACGGACTACTACGACGCTATGAAGTCCTACACTGTCCAGCAGGAGTCCATACCCTGGCTCTACCTGGAGTTCTCCCAGCTCGGCTTCATAGGTCAGACTCAACACTTTCATACTGTATTTAACACTTACTTTGTCCACTCATAGCTACAGTCAAAGTTTTTATGAGATTTAAATAAAAAAATTAGCTGAATAAAAGGTAATAGAAAGCAGATCAGGGAGCAAGTGTTTGTCCTTTTTTTACTCTACATTTAGTGTCAGACTCTCGCAGTGAGCATGCCATCTGCCCCGATAAGCCAGAGTCAACAGGCAGGTGTCTTGTCTCCTCCTCTTTTCACTCATTGTGAGCAGTGTCTCCTCTTTAAGCCTGTTTTATAAGTGGACTTTCCTCTCCATTTTTTTTGAGTTTGAGGAGGTGTGGCCAGAGTAGCACTTCTCATAAGTGACTGTTTGTGGCAAATATATAACAATAAAAAGCACACTAGATAAAAAAGGAGGTCCCGGAAGAGGCAAAAAACCCAATAGGGCTTATATTAGAACTTCTACCATATGAGTACATTAAAATTGAACATTATAGCTGTGAATTAATAAAAAAAAATATATATAATTTTTGAAAAAAATAAAATAAAAATTAGATTCAAACATGGATTAAAATACAATGAAACATCCACAACTGAATGATTATCAAACTCAAACATTATTATGAAATTTTAAACATTTTCTCAAACTCTTTTTAAACGTTTCTGATGCGTCACTAACCAGATGTGACAACTGGCTCCACAATTTCCGGCCTCTGTATCGAAGCAAAAGTGAGTTCCTGATGTGACACATTTTGGAACATGAAAATTACGATTTCGACTAGTTTTGTATCTGTGAATCTCTGCATTGGTTTTATAGTAAAATGTGAAATGATTAGGAATCGCAGTTGTATAATAAAGAATTCTACACATAAAAATACAAATTTGATAAATATTAGTATCATAAATATTAAGAATGTTAAGTTTGATGAATAAAGTAGCAGCATGGAATGGAGTTGCAATTCAAACAAACCATTTTTTACAGTTGTGATCAACATCAAGAATTCAACATATTAGTGGCGTATATTTTACTCAACAAGACTGTCTTTGTTGCCACTCAAGATTCTTGCAAATTTTCTCAAATCACGGACATGAATCGTGGCTTTTGCCAACTGTTGTTGTGTCCTTAGGCTAGACACTTCACCCACATTGCTTAGTGTGAAAGTGGAGTGTGCATGGTGGGAGTGCAGATTGGCAGCCTCGCTTCCCTCAGTCTGCCCCAGTGCAGCTGTGACTAGTAATCTAGAGCAGGGGTGTCAAACTCCAATTCACAGACTCCAAAATTAAAAACTGGGACTAAGTTGTGGGCCAAACTAAATATTTATTTAGAAAATGTAACAACATCTGCTTGATATGTAATGTTAAACCTTGTCTTATTAAAATAAATGTTTAATAATAGTTTTGCTTAAAGGTTGTATGGAGGATTTTTTTTGTTTCAAATTGTCAATGATAGCATTATAGAGGTGCAGTAGCCTTGTAATTATGATGACCAAAAAAAGAGAATAAATTTTCATCAACTCTGGACGTGGTGGGGCTAAACATTTGCCAATAGATAACGACACTGCCTCGTTATCTGTGAGCTGACAGGCTGTCAATCAAACTCCCTACGTTTCTAGTGTAACTGACTTGCCTGCGCGCTGCCGTTACGTGGTTTACGTACGACTGTTACGCAGTCCACAGACGCAAGACGCTGTTTACTTCACCAACACAACAGTTCTTAGCGGCTTTTTTGACCTATATTTTCCTCGCAGTTCTCACAAAGTTTGTTGCAATGGCGACAAGAATCCAGGAGCAGTTCGCCGCAAAAGAAAGTCAGTTTTTGAGGTCGCTGAAAGAAGAAGACAAGGGGAAAGCAGCGAAGCCAAACTAAGGCTGTGTTCAGACTGCAGCCTGAAGTGACCCAAATCCGATTTTTTTGGCTTCTATGTGACCTGTATCTGATCTTTTAATGACAGTCTGAACGGCACAGATCCGAATTTTTCAAATGCGACCCAGGCCACTTGGATATGTGGTCCTGAATCCGATACATATCCGATCTTTTGACATGCGACTTCAGTCTGAACGGCCAAAGCGCATCCATCTGACCTACACGTCATTAACAAGCCACAAACGTCACTATTCTGCGCTGAAGCAGGCGGAAACTGGAACTGTAAAATCTCCAGGTGCTCAATGCTCGCGTCCATATTTGGACAATTTCCGTAAACACAGAGACGCTCGCTGCGGTTGACGCATGGGGTTGACATCATTGTGTCTCCAGTGCACATGTGGGACACTTTCCGGCCGTTTACCGTTCACACTGAAGTCACAGACAAGTCGCATTTAATTGGAAATGTGAACGACCTCGCAAAAACATCGGATTTCACAAAAAAATCGGAATTGAGCATTAAGCCCTGCAGTCTGAACTAAGGTGATTCTTGGAGATTCATTCCAGCGATGGCGCGACTGAAGCAGACGAAGGGTCTAAAGACTGACGCACTGGTCCACAAATTACTCCTGGACAGGAAACTTCTGCTTATTATGAAAATGTACTTTATTTCCAAGAGCTAAACAAACGTTTTTCAGGACACGAATGTGATATCCTATGTCTGAAAACGTAATTTTCAAGGCAAAGAAAGAGTCCGCTTGCTGCTGCGTGTTGTAGCTAGTTCATTCGCACGGAATCTCCGCGCACCCTTCTCTGCACCCCTTCCTGCTCCTCTCCTCGCTCCCTGCTCCGCTCTTCCCGCTGCTCCTCACTTCTCGTCCGCGCACGAAATGTCCGCGCACCCCCTCCCCCCGCTCCTCACTTCTCCGTCTTGCCTAACCAACACTGTAGTTGGTTGTTTACAAGTCATGTGCAGCGCAGCGGCTGTAAACAAACCTGTTTCTGGCGTAAGGAGGAGGAGGGAGGAGGCGTTTCTACGTAGGAGCTGTAGGGGAGGGGGGGTGGTTTCACGCATGCGCAACATTTGAAAAAGGACAAACAGTCGCTGGATTTCTCGTTCCTTGGAAAATCCTCTATACAACCTTTAAACATTAAATCCAGAACAAGCAAAATATAAAATAATAACATTTTAAATAACTAGTGCATCTATAGTCTATCTGTAGATGGCAGGCAGCTCTAATACATAATTGATATGATCTCGCTGGCCAAATATAATTATATCGCGGGCTAAATTTGTTTGAGTTTAACATGTCTTATAGAAGCTTTCCACCACCAGGTCTGGAATGAACGAATAATGCTCTGTGAATGTCCAGAAAAGTGTCACATAAAACTGATGCATTATTATTGCAGTGAAAGAACGGTAGTGTAAAGCTTCTATAATAGATCTATGGTAGAAACACACAATATGAATCGTAAAAAAACACACAACAGAGCACAACTTCACTCATGGTTTTAGGAGCACGGCAAAAGTTGAACAGGTGGCCGAGGTTTGAAGGGTATTTCCAGACGCGTTGTTGGGAAGATACGCCATGCTGCTACACTGTCATAGCTGTCCGCTGTTTTTGGCTCAAAAAGTTTTCAATCGCCCCAAAAACGTGTGAGAAATATGAGTGGCAACAAATACATTTAAATAAGTGTTGGTTTTCATTCAGACCCTGGTTTAATCACATGACACTGAGGCTAGGAGTGAGCGAGTATTTCCTGTGGCTGCTATATTTGTAACTACATCTTTGATTTGATGACTTATAGGCCGGGAGCCAGGTCCACCCCTCAGGGTGTTTTTTGCTCCTTTTTTTCACTATTATTTCCTGTTATATTATATCTTGGGCCATCACAAGTTGATAGGGACCAACCCAACTCGGCCCTGTTTGGTCTCAGGGCCCAAAAAACACACTTTTTAAGAAAAGCTATTTGCAAAATTATGTAACTGTAAATATTAAGGTACTATAACTGCATACATGGTCAAATAACCCTAAAATTTGGCATGGTGTATCCTGACACATCAGGGAAACTAGCAGAAAAATATTTTGGGGCTTGCTGCCTTTCTACTGTCAAATATCACCCTCAACATATCCTAAAAGACCAAAAAATGTCTGTCCGCCTGACAAATTGTCATCAAAAGTGATCATTTTCAAGCATTTTATTGCATTTATTACTGCCTCAAATGTACATAAAAAACTTCCCATGTTCATAAGCTTCAATTTAAGCCCAAGATGACCTTTGTATCTAGAGGGAAACAGCTGCTATGACCAAAGTTCTTCACTGTACCTCAGGCATTACCATTACTTCTGGGATCAAGCAGGATTTTTTTTCATAGAAACAATATTTGAAAAGAGTTGACTTATGTACTGCTGTACTATATGAAGTGAATTACATTAAAAGTGAATAATTTTAATTACATTAATAGTAAATAATATTAAATCTCAGGGCCAGAGTGCAAGATAAAACTATGGTAACCAGATTACACATACAAACACACATATCCCACACACAACCACCCAACATCCTGACCCTTCATGCAACATCCCATTAGACGTTATTTTCCAAAGACAACTGAGAGAAGTTGATCCATTTTTCTGGTTAAAAGAAGAGATTGAGTCTATTGGGAGACTGGTGTCCTTTTCTAGGCGTCCATGACTTCTAGACTGAACATTAACTATTGTCAGATTGTGAGATAACAACCAACCCAATGGAGCTACTGGTGAACGTAGAGGTGGGAGACAAAGTATGGTGTGGGTGTGTGTGTGTGTCTGTGTGTGCGTGTGTGTGTGCGTGTGTGTGTGCGTGCGTGCACATGTCTGTGCCTGATATCATCAATAAGATCATCAGTTTCTGTTTGGGGCTAAACTTCAATGAAATTGGAAACACTGGGTCTCAGTTCATGAATATTTACACACTGAATACTGCACATTATTTCACTGTTGTAATGAATAATAATTTTGCAAATAGCTTGTCTTAAAAAGTGTGTTTTTTGGGCCCTGAGCCCAAACGGGGCCGAGTTGGGTTGGTCCCTATCAACTTGTGATGGCCCAAGATATAATATAACAGGAAATAATAGTGAAAAAAAGGTAGCAAAAAACATCCTGAGGGGTGGACCTGGCTCCTGACCCATTAAAGGTACATTTCCAAAGTTGGTTGATTGATGCTGTTGTTCCCTTGTCAAAAACCTACCTGGAGTTTATTTTCCTTCATTCATGCTTGTATAATTAACCTATTAATCGTTGTTTCCTCTGAGATTTGCATGTAAAACTGTGACTGTGCTGTTCAGGGAAGATGTTTCGAACCCGTGACCTGCACATGATCGTGGACTTCTTCCTGATGTTCCACAAAGACAAGCCCATCGACTGGCTCCTGGACCATATCCTGTGGGTCAAAATGTGCCACCCAGAGAAAGACGCGGTAAGCTTCACGCGGTGCTCTGTCCGTGATCTCGGAGAAACGGCTCGCTCAAGTCTACAAACCGAGAGTGATCGAGCTAAATACGTGATTCGATATGTGCGCAGACAATGTTGGGGAGTAACAGATTACATGTACCGGAGTTATGTAATCAGAGTACATATTATGAGTAACTGTATTCAGTTACAGTTACTGTTTCAGAGAGTGGTAATTGGATTATAGTTACTTTGTTGAAATAAATGGATTACATGATGGTATGTTCCTGTTTTCACATTTTGGGCTAAACCAGGACTAAAACCAGGACTAAACCAAGTCTAAACCAGGTCTAAAACGGGACTAAAACGGGACTAAACTAGAACTAAAACCAGGCCTAAACCAGGCCTACACCAGGCCTAAACCAGGACTAAACCAGGACTAAACCAGGACTAAAACCAGGTCTAAT